GCACCTCCCCGGCTCCCCTCCACCTTTCCTTCCTGTGTGGAGCCAATTCTGCTCCTGTAGAAGTCACCGGCTGCTCTGAGCACACCACAAGCTGCTCAGAACAATTTCTGGCCACTCTCTGAGTCTTTGGAAAGTACCTGCTGTATCACTGGCTGTTTCTGCAAATAGATCTATACCAAGTCATGTGGCTTTCCTTACTTGGCTTCAGGTCTTTCTGTCAACATGGCAAATTGGGGCTCCCATCTCAAAGGTGAAGGTAGATGAGATTTGTCAACCCTGTCATAGCAGGAGTTCAGTTATTCTTCAACAAGCTGTAGTATGAGGAAAGAGAAAAAGCATGCAGTTGCCCAAATGCAAGGATTCTGCAGAGCCTGCACATGGGATGAAACACTCCTGGCAAGACATTACCCTGTTACAGCTTAAGCAAAGCTCTGTCACAATGTCACTCAGCTAATACCCGAGTGAAAGGAGAGCTGCTTACGCCAGCATTGATTCACAACCATGAAGGGACGCAGCACACTGCTGCCTGTGGTCAGGAGGGGCAGGCAGCACGTTTGCCTGAATGTGCCCCCTCCCAACTCAAAGGGAGGAAACCTGCTGTTTCATTACTGCCCATTAGCAATGATGAGCACTGGGTACAGCGAGTTTTTCACCTTTGTGCTGCATTGCAAGCATTAACATTGGCGAGACTCCTATCTGATAATTGCAGTCCGTTTACCAGCCCTATTTGATATGTGTGGGAACCAATGAAGAATGGTGAAGCTACGTGTGCAACGCTCCCAATGAAAGATCCCTTTGAACCCAGGAGGTCTGGCTGGCTGGAACTAGATCCTGCTCACCAAAACCCAGCCAGATACAGCACCCAGTAGATGATGCTGCCATGGCCCATGCCCTCCCCTCCCTTCCATGCCCCAACTAACTTCTGACAGTTTCCCTCATCCTCTTCTAAAAATAGATTTTTTTTCCTACATACCTGGTTGGGTGTTTTGTTTTGGTTTTTTTCTTGATTGATTTTTCTTTTTGGCAACCCTTCCAAAACCCAGAACCATGTCTGAGAAATCAGGTTCCAGCATGGATGCTGCAGGGACAAGAGGATTTCAAGGTTGTTTCTCAAGCCTCTGTTATTAGTGAGATTTGGGAGGCTGGGCTGTATCACATTGTGCTGAGAATACAAAGCCAGAAATGAAAGAGGAAAGAGCAGCTTGCTTGAGAGGTCTTTCATTCAAAAGGGAGGAGTAAGCCACAGTGAACACCTTCAACACATCAGGGATGCAAAACCCTGAGGCCACCAATTAGCCTGGGCGCCGAGAGAGGGGCGAGCAGAGCAGGCAGGACCATAGTCCAGTGCACCAGCAGGTGCATTCCCAACAGTCCCAAAAGAAGAGAGCTCCTGGGTAAAACACAGCCTAATGACCATTATTTCCAAGAACACAAGTAACTTATCTGTAAACATCACTCCCCCAACCAGGCATTAGCTGAAAAAAAAGCAGCTTTGGAGAGAGAGACTAATTACATAGCTCTCAACAGCTGGACTTTGATCATAATTACAGTGCCTTCTTTATCTTACATTAGCAGCTTTCAACTGCAGCTAGGTGGGCACTTCTTGGAAGGTGGAAATCCCGTCCATTTCAGATAGTTAGCTCATTTTATGACTCAGAGCTAGCCTGGGTTTTCTGCAGCACAGGATGAGCTCCCACAGTACCATCCAAACAAGTAATTCACGGGGGTTAGCGGCTTGGCGCTTCAATGCAGGTGCTTCTGTCCTTACAGCAACACCTTCCCAGGCCCAGGCGCCGGAGCACTGAGCCTGCTTTATCACTGATTTTGAGCATTTCATGCAAATCCCTTTATAAGGGAAGCAGAAGTGGAAAAACAGTGAGGTTTTAGTTCAACTCCGTTGTTGCTGAATTCTAGCATCTCTTATCTCTTTCTATTGAGAAGAAAAGAAGATGAGCCCACTCAGGATATACCTTTCCAAGCTCACTTCAGATGTTCACACGCTACTTTTGCAACCCTCACTTCTGCACAGGGATGTACGTCCCCATCAGTGCCTGGTGCCCCTCTCTCAGCTGGGCTGCAGCTCCAGCAGTAAACTCCAGTGCCCACAGCAACAAGCAGGGTTCGTGGAGGAGGACGCTGCTGTCCTGTGTCCCAGCTGAGCTGTCCATACTTTTGTGTGATGCAGGGGGTGCTTTTGTTTTAATGCCCACATTTACAAAGAAATAAATAGCCTAAATGAGAGAGCTGGGCTGTTGAGACAGAGGCTGGAGTAGCCTGAACAACACCACACAGCACTGGGAGTCTGGGCACACAGCTATTTTTTCCTCATCTGTGGCAATGAATTACTGCGTTGTGTAGATATACCATAGCCGCAGCACATAGTTTCACTGCTGTGAAGTGACAGGCAGTAAGTATACAAGCATTATAATGGCACATTAGTTAATGCTCCTAAGCGTGGTCTGTGTTCACCTCTTGACAGAGGAAGTGTTTTAGCTGGCTCCCACGCTGTCTGCCTGCCAGACACCCCCAAAGTAAAGAGATTAATAGATGAAGCAACAGCAGAGGGTAAATGTAAGCCACAAATCTTAGCGCTAACTGGGATTTATAACTGCTTCCCCCTCCACACGGACCTACAGGGAAATCTGTGTGAACCCCCCCTGCCCATTTTAACAGGGTCTCAAACGCTTTTCACTTATTATTTTGCCAGCATGCGTCAGCTCAACGTTATCAGTTTGCTGTTTAGATTATTACTAGATGTAATTTTAAAGTTGCAGAGAAGCACATTGGTGTTAGCTAAATAAAGCACTTTGACCACATCAAAGCAAAAGTGTTTCAAACTGTGCAAAATAAATGCAGTTATGAAACTATTCAATTTTGTTAAATCAGTCAGACGAATGTCACCCAGCACATCATGAATATCCAACCAATGGAGCTTAAAGCTGAAGACCATCTATCTCTTCAGACTGAGAAAAGTATCTCTGGGACCAACTTTCAGCTGATTTTGACCCGTGGCAGAGCACAGCCACTAATAACCGGATAAATGCTACTCTCGGCTCATGTAAACAGACATGCATAACAGCTGAGACACGTTATTACTCTAAGCTACATCTCTATCAGGTTTTATGACTGAGGGGTGTCACAAACTTTATCTGTCCCAAGCTGTCCTGAGGCTTCCCATACTGCAATGGTCACGTAAAAACTCACCACGCTGCTAAGGCGTGCGGTGAGGAGCAGCATTTCTAGTGAAAGGCCTAACTTGCTGGAGGACGCAGATTTGAAGGTGAGAAAGGCCCATTTAAAAATGGGATACAGCCAAGGAAATTTTTTGTCTTCAATTCCTGCTTCGGCTGTTTTTTTTTTTTCCTGAGCCACAGCGCCAATTCTATGAACCTGTTCTTTGACATAGGATGGGATGTGACTGGCAGGAGTTCACAGGGGCTGGGAAGCAGTCCCAGAGCTCAGGTACACTTCCCAGTGCATCTTTACACTTTCCAATTTTATTTTTATTTTTTTTAAACTATCTATTTGGGAATTTGCCTGGCTGTCCCTTCCAGCCACTGAAACTTCTTTGTCTGCTAAAGACCCCACTGCTGCCAGCCTGAATCCACCTTCCCAGATGGGCGC